GGTATACAAATGGTACACTCAGAAGGAGATATAAAAGGAGGGAAAATTCCAGCCATGTATCTAGTCTTTCCTTACTCGCGCTCAATTTCACCTTGTTATTCCGTTACTAAGATACTTACTCTGGGGGTCAGTAAGACTTCTTACTACTAGTAGTATACTTCGGTATAACTCTAGTAGGCGTTGCCTCTGACCTAGTCGTTGTTGTTCTTGATTATCGAAGCACCCTATCGTGTGTCCCTGTGAGACCCCACCATACCTGTGAGAGAGGTCGTTCGAGGAAGAGCCCTTCGCCAGTTAGGCCGTTGTCTCAAGGACAAGAGACCCGGATCAGTTAGATCGTCGCGTGCTCGTGAACGACATAGAGTCAGGAAGACTCCTTGATCCTTCCCTAACCACCATTGTTAAGTATCGACGACTACGGTTGGACCCAACGCGTAACAGCAGGTTGCCCTTTATAGAGACAATCTTCTCTATTCATGTTACTGTCCTGTGATGCCCATCTTCAACATAATTAGTTACCATCATAAAAGATAGTAGATCAAATTATACATATATCTTGTAATCTTCCAAAACTCTGTTCTAAAGTTGGATCAAATCCTCTAAATATTTGTTTTCTACACTCATGCTATCTTTCTCTTGATGTGCCCCTCTCTTATAGCTATTTGCTTTAGCACGAGCAAGTCTATCCACCTTTATCTTTGGCATTTTTGGAAAATTTTTATGACTAATCTACAGTAGAAAAAAAAGTAAGGAGAAGAGGAGGGAAAGAAAAGATGATAAGAAAAGAGAAGGAAATCTATAGAAGCAGAGAAGGAAAAGGAGAGGAAATAAGGCTAGAAATAACAGAGAAGAAACAGGGTTATAGGATATTTTTTCTCTAGGCAGGAGATAGCACACTGCTATCTTCATTATCCAATCTCTTCTTAGCATGGTTCCTAGGTTAGATATTGCTAAGCAGCTGGCACAAGCATAAGGGAAGGACGGGTGAAGATAGGGTAAGTATGAGCTCGAGTGAGCGAATCACCTTGACTGGGTGATATGATCACCTGACTCACCCAGCTCAACCGCTTAAAGCGGCGATGTCCAAGTAAGGAAAAAGCTGCTCGCAGATTTTTATACGATATTTTGACCTACCTACGAAGCAAATTCAGACTAAGTTTTTTTTTTCAATGTTTTCTTTTCTTATCCTAACTAACCTATCTCTAACTAGGTAGGTAGCTAGCTGAGTGATGGAGCTACGATCGATCAATCGGTCAATCAATCGATCAACCAATGCAGCCAGCCAGCCAAACGTTCCAGTTAGCAGACAGACAGACAGGCAGACAGCAAACCAAGAATGTTTTACAAAAAGTCACACACACCTGCACATCAACTCAACTGAACTCAAACTCCCAAAAAACGCCATGCTGTGAGCAAAGACAAACAAAACAAAACAAAAGCCCAAATTTTCAACACAAGAATCGACTCGAATCGACTCGACTGACTCGACAAGACAAAGGAAAATGCACAGCGAATGCAGGAATAGGAGTGAAAGGAAACACCAGAGACAGCAGGCCCGCCATTAAAATGCATGTATATACTGTACACGACAGGAAAAAAAGGGTTTCTAACACGAAGGTTTATCTCTAAGCAAAGGAAAGGGGGGAAAAAAAAAAAGAAAAAGAAAGAAAGAAAGA